CTCCTGCGCCGTCCCTCCACCCTCCCAAACATGATGTCCCTCTCTAAGGACCGGTCTCTCCTCACAACATGTCCAAAGTAAGTTAGACGGAGCCTTAGAATCCTTGCCTCCAAGGAGCCACCCGGTTTAACCCTCTCCAGGACAAATCTGTTTGTTTTCCTAGCAGTCAGGGCTTTGAATCCATCAGTCTCACCACTAGGGAAAGACGTGCCAGTACTACTCCCATAGCAATGTCTTCAGAAAGCCTAGGGGCCATTCTACTCTGTTCTACAGTGTGCTGTGAGAATGGAATCAACTTGAGTTTCTATTATTGTTATTACTAAACAGTTTCACTGCAGCTGTATTTCCGATATTTGTCTATTATGAATTTATATATATGTTTTTGTGGGTATTATTTGAATCTCTCTTAGTTTGTTCTTTAACACTATGCTGCAAGTTTTGTGGGAAATGTGATCAACTTTATAAGAAGCTGCTCTATGGCTTTCTCCATTGCCTATGTATGGTCATTTGCAATGTTTAAAGAGTTCTAATTGCTCCAGGGAGCTCTAGTGACACATTGGTAAGGAAGGAGTTGTGTTGTCAACCACAAGGCCAGTAGTTCAAATACACCTGCTGCTCTTTGAGAGAAAGATAGGCTGCCTCTGAAAACCCCCTGGAGGATCAGCTATGAGCCCATTTCGACTCAATGGTATAGAACAACAATTGCTCCACTTTCTCCGCAAAGATTAATATTATCAGTCTGTTTAACTTTAGTGCTTCTAGCTAATGTTTAGAGATATCCTATGGTTTTAATGCAGATTTCCTTCAGCGCTGGTGCTAATGAGCATGTGTTGATGTACTCATTGGGCACCATCTGTCTTCTGAAACATCTTTTCATATCTTTGTGCCCGCTTTTAAAAGTTGACATGTCAGTATTCTTTTTCTATCCCTCTTAGAAGTCTGTTGTCATCTATGTGTTTTGCAAATGCTGCTGTTTGTTGCATTGTTTGCTTAACTCAGTAGTGTTTTAATTTTGTTGACATCTACTTTATCAGTATTTTCTTTTAAGAATAATGCTTTTTGTATTCTTTAAAAAAAATATTTGCCTAGTTTGGTGCCATAAAGATTTTTTTTCCTGCTAGAAATTTAATGCTTTTGGCTCCTACATTTAGCATATAGTGTTTTGAGTTAATTTTTGAGCATGTGTGAGGAAAGTCTTGAAGTTCATCCTTTCCCATCCTCTCTCTCATATGGATATCGACTAGTTCAGCATCAAGTTTTGAAAAGACTATCTTTTTCCCATTGGATCAGCTTGATACTTAGGTTGAAATCAGTTGACTGTGAAAGTGAGGAGGACTTGAAGCACATGCTGCAGAAGACAAAATTACAGCCTCCAATAGAGATTTCATCTCAACCTCAAGAAGACACAAATCCTCACCCTTGGGCCAGTAGGCAGCATCAAGAGAGACTGGAAAAAAACAACAACATAAAGAAAACATGAAAAGATTGAAAATGTCAACTATTTTATCTTAATTGGATTCACAATCAACACACTTGGTACCAGCTGTCAAGAAATCAAAGGATGTGTTGCATTGGGAAGGTCTGCCGTCAAGGACCTCTACCAAATATCAAGGAACAATGATATTGAAGACTGAGGTGCTCTTGATTCAGGGCATCCTTTCAACCACTTGCTGTGCATCTGAGAGCCAGATAAGGAATCAAGATGACAGAAGAATCAATGTCAGAACAAAACGACAAAACCCAATCAATACTTCTGCATTGTGGTGATGGAGAAGAGGGCTGGATATCCCATGGACTGCCAAAAGAACAGACAGATGTGTCTTGGAGAAAGTGAAGCCAGAGTGCTCCCTGGAGACAAGGATGGTGGAACTTCATCTCTTATACTTGGGCATATTGTTAGGAGGGACTGTTTCTTGGAAAGGGAAGTCTTGCTTGAAAATGTGGTCAGCGAAAGACAGTAAGACCTTCAATGAAATGGATTGACTCAGTGACTTCAACAGTGGGCTTCAATATATTAGAGATGATGAGGTTGGCACAGAATAGGATAGGGTTGAGATTTGTTGTTCATAGGGTTGTTATAAGTCACACTTCACTCAGTGATACCTAACAGCAACAACAATATATTCTATTTATGACTCTGTTCTATTGACCTATATTTCTAATCTGCCAGTACTATATTCTGAGGTAATGAAGGTGGTCCAGGATAGTATAGAGTTCAAATCTGTTGTTGATAGTGTAGTTATGAGTTGTATTCAACCCTATGACACCCAATAACAACATATTTTGAGAACTGGAACTTTCACCATTTGCCTGTGTTTTCATCTTTGAGACCCTGATGAAAATACTCTTTTTGATTGGAGTTCAAGATCTGTTCTCTGTAGTACACTGTGGACACTTTATCCCTGCATTCATAT